TTTAAGGATTATGAAACACAAAAAAATTTACACTGCCCTCCGGAAATTCTTCAATAGTGACATATGTAAGGATTTGACGAATGCCATACTTTTTTATTTTTTGTTTTTTACTTACTTGGGGAAAGATGCATCTCATCCATGTAATATATGGATTTTACAATACATAGATTGTAATCAAACTACTATTATATATATGTAATTATTGAAATAGCTTGAAATAAAGAAATCGGACGCAAGTTGTCCTTACGTATAATTGTCATGAAAAATAATTGAATGATTTCAATTATTAAAGGAGTCTTTATGAGACTTTAGTGTCACTCAATTAATCTAATCAACCATTTTTGATCGGATTAGGTACAAGTCTTGTGAATGGGGTTAAACCAATAGTGTCATTAAGGGTTCCAATTAATATCTCATATCTAATCAACACATGTTTTTGTGATGAATTATCAAAAGAAAAAAAAAAAAGAAATATAGTGGAGCCAGAAAGATAAAGTTTTTGACTAATGACTATCTCAATCATGGTTTGTGTACAGTTTAGAGGATGCTTAGATATAAAAATTTTTAGATTTGTTTGGACTTTTTGGTTTGATTTGGTTAATTTTGAAAAATGTAGAATGGTTAGTTATTAGTGGATATATTAAAATAATATTTAAAATAAAATAATTAAAGTTGATTTGATGTAAAGGTAGGAGAAAATGATTGGAAGTGATGATTAGTTAAAATTATGTAAGTGGATGAATAGTGAATTAAGGTTGATGTGATGTGTAAGAATGATTGGTTGATATTATTTAATTATATTAATAATATTAATGATAATTAAGTTGAGTTAAAGTTGAGTTAAAAATGTTAGAATTTTTTTGGATAAGTTTTATATCAAATCATCCTCTTAGTTATTAAGTTCTCACTTTTAGTCAATGTGCCCAACTTTCAGTTTTTTAATCTCTATAGCAGAAGGTCCAAAACCTAAACTCCAAAAGCACATGCGTATGAGGACAAGAATGACAGTTCTTGGGGAAAATCTAGGTATTGTTCTTCCTTACATAGGGCTGTAATTATATCAAACATGATGAATTACTGGAGAATATATTTTGGAATAATAATGGAGTTATGAATGAATTTGAAACTTAGAAAACGTGACGAATATGTACTTTCATGAAATTTAATAATTAATCCTCCCCTACATAAACTCATAGTTCCAAAGTCTAAGCATTATTTCCAGATAGGTTATGAATTGCACTTTTAAAATTATATTAGATAACTTAAATTATGATTTATAAATATGTTTATGTATTGTTTTATAAAAATTAATAATTTTTTTTGGTTATCATCTCTTTCCTTTCTTTTCTCCCCATATCTTTTATATAATAAAATAAATAGATAAATTTATTTTTTATATAAAAGTATATATTATAAAATATATTCATTTTATATATACAAGAATGTCGAGACTTGAGAGAAAACAATTAATTCAATATATCATATATGAAAAATATTTTTGGTTTTTCCACGGTAAAGTAAGACCAAACTCATGAACTTATTATTCTGGCAACATTCTTGTATATATAAATCAAATATATTTTACAATATCTACTTTTATATGAAAAATAAATATATCTATTTATTTTTTATTATATAATAAAATATCGTATCAATTGTCGAGGGTAATTAAAAAACCAATAATTTATTATTAAAGAATTGTTTGAAACCAATAACTTCATGCGTGAAACCCGTCCCAACTTATGTGAAAGATGGGCTGACGATGGGCCCATTAAATCAATAACGAAAATATGCCCCACTTAACTGGACATGTGTCAGCTTGCAAATGCCCCTTTTTGTTGCTTGATTCTACCGTTTCCAGACTATCATTTGAACTGTAAATGATTATGTGTGCGTTCAAACATATAATTTTAAGCAACCAGCTACCCAATTATTTATTTGACCGTTAATTTTTTTTAGAAAAATGCTACATTATTATAATTAGATTGTCAATACAAGTGAAAATATTCACTTGTGTATTTTTTTTTTATTTTTTTTAATGTTTTCACTTGTATTGTCAACTTAGTTGTATACTAAATTGGCAATGTAGCATTACTCTTTTTTGTAGGCTCTCTATGTTGAGTCTGTAACAAGACATTGCATCACCATAATAACTAATAACTTAACTCATTGCTGTTGGTTGCAATAATGGCATGCATTACTTAAGAAAGTGGGATTATTTTTGTAAAGGGATTGCTTTAGTGGTTGATTATAGTCTATTTAACTAGACAGTAGATTATTTTTTTTTATATTAAAAATATTATTTATAATATGAAGTTTCATATTTTCTTATTCACATTGAAATATGTCGTGTTGTAATTGTATCTATATCGATAAGGCTGTAGTTAGACAGATCTGCCGAACAATTATATATTTCTTGTAATTTCATATATAAGTGATATACTTTAAAAAATAATAAGAACAAAAGTTTGACATTTCTTAATATAAAGATGCATTTTTATTTAAAAAGTATCATCCACTGACCTAAATATGAAACTGACTCACACAAGCATTTGTGTACTCATGTAATAGTCTTGCTATATTTAATATGATATTGAGCTGCCAACTACTTACCAATACTTTACTTTCTATACAATCATTTATAATCAAACAAGTTAATATTACTAACTACTACACTCTAATTGTGGGTCAAGATTTTGGAATACTGATAAATTGCATTGCATAGGCATTATGATCATAGGAAAAGAAACTATTCTCCAGTGCACAAATTTTATTTTACAATCTCAGCAATGCATAAACATATACTTATATCATAAAATATTATATTTTTATTTATATTATTTTTTAAAAATATAACTGTTAAGTCTGACTTACTTCTACTATTCCACTGTAATACAAATTAAGCTCTTTTAAGTGATTTTCCTCCATTTTCGACCTCTCCAAGTCCCAATTGCTTTTGGTGTGCAGTAAAATCTTGTCTCAGTCAAAAAGGACAGGTGAAAAAGTAAAACCCTCAACAGTGAAATAAAGAGATCCCGTCTTTCTTTCTAAAATCTTGTCTCAATCTAAAACTGATCCAATTTTTCTTTTTAAGACAAAGATCCCATTTTCTGTATTGGGATTTCAAGCTTTCCCTTTTCCTGTT